AAATACGAGCAGGAATCAGTTTTTGTTGTTACTGAGCGCATTGCACTTCGCAAAAATCCCAGATAAGAATACACAGCTTCCAAAGGATCGACTGTATAAAGTAAGAGATATGGTGAATTTGTTCAATGCTGGAGCATCTGAAATATATTACCCAGGGTGTGAGATTAGTTTAGATGAATCGATGGTATTGTTGTGTGGACGGCTTATATTCAGACAGTATATACCAAATAAACGTCACAAATATGGTATCAAGTTGTACATGATCACAACTCCTGATGGTATGGTTCTGAAATTTATGATATATACAGGCATGTTGGATGATTCTGGTAGAAAAGAACATGCAAAAAAAGTCGTTATGAATTTACTCGAGGGAATGCTGGATGTAGGACATAGCATATTTATAGACAATTATTATAACAGCTATGAACTGACAAAATGTCTTGCTGATAGGAAAACTCATTGCACTGGGACAATCAGAAAGAACAGAAAGACATTTCCAAAAGAGGTAAAGGGAAAAAGAAAAGAAAAGAAAAAAAAAAAAATGAAGAAAGGGCAAACTGTAGCAAAGTATGCTAATGGTGTGATGATTGCAAAGTGGCAGGATAAGAGAGACGTCACTTACATTTCCAATGAATATGAAAATTATATGGTGGAAATAATAAACAAAAGAGGTGAAATTAATTCGAAACCTCTACCCGTAATTCAATAAAATAAATTTATGGCTGGTATTGACAAGCAAGATCAGATGCTTGCTTATTATCACCCTTGTGAGAGAAAAACAATTAGGTGGCCCACGAAAATATTTGTGCATATTTTGCAAATAATGATGAACAATTCCCACTTTATCGATAATAAGTATTCCAATGAAAATACATCACTGTATGACTACCGTTTATCCGTGATACGAAGTTTACTAAAACAGCCATCTGTTCTTCGTACTCCTGTGTGTGATCAGTCTGAATCTGAACATGTGCTGAGTACACGGGAAGAAAAAAAAAGAAGGAAAAATTCTAAGAAAGCAATGCATAAGTTGCTATTGATTCCCAAGGGAAATGTAAAGATACAATATATGTTTGCAAATTTTGTGAAGGATCTCCCGGGTACTGCTTAGATTGTTCAAGGATAATACACAAATAACATTCTAGATGTATCTGTATAATGTCTTTGTAATTTTCTTGTTATAAATTCCTTTGTAATATGTATAATTGTCTGTAATACATATTGATATAAAAATAATGCATACTGTCTCTTATTTAAATTAATTTTTTGCATTCCACGCGCCAGCGCGTAATGTGGCATTTGGGGAAAATTTTGACATGTATTGCCAATCATGCACTGGCACGTAATTAAAAAATTCTTTAATAAAAGGCTTAAATAATACTTAGGGATCACAGAATTATCTTTTATTAATATTTTTAAATCATATTTTTATAATAAGTATGTTGGCATCTGGATACAATTTACATCCATATGCATGGCAATAACTATCAATCTAACTCTAGTGACTGGCAGTCAATGTATTAAGAAATATCAGAGAGCTGCACAAACTCAGCTCTGTATGCAAGGTTATCATACATATGTACACAATGATCAATTTTTGCCTAAAAAACTAAATCAGAGAATTGCACAACTTTGCCATTTCAGTCCATAAAATCAGATTGTTTAAGAAGTACAATTGCTGGTCCTATGTTTTACCCTCCATGTAAATTTATCACAGGCCAATCAGCAGTAAACTGACAAGGTTGTCAATGATGTGGTTTCAGCTGACTGGGCGATGATGTGCTCTCAGGTATACGGATACTAGGGACAGAATTAACTCGGTACTCAATCACCTTCCTTTCTTTCCTCTTCCTCTCTCTCTCTTTTTTTTTTTTTTTTTTTTTCCCTGTAGTTTTTATGTAAAAAGTTGCTGGTGCCACCCAGTCTCTTTTAAGAGTGAAATAAATTTGAGTTTTTGCTTTAAACATGGTCCTGCACTCTCATTTCTGCAGAAAACAAAGTATGATTTTCAATGCATTTCTATTCCCGACAACAATTTCACGGAATGAGAATTTTTTCATTTTCTATTGTTGAATAAAATGCATATTTTTGAAGAAATGTAATAGTTTCCTTTTCATCATGCAGAAAACTCCACAGTTTCATTACGGTTCCTTACAAGAGGGGGGGGATATTTAAATGAAAAAAAAAAAAAACACAGAAAAATGATAATCAAATATGAAGGTGGAAATCAGCTCTCTTCTGCTTCACTAAATGCCATTTAAATGTATTATTTTGTATAAATCTACCACTTAAATACATTTCGCCAATATCATAAATTGTCTATTCTAGCAAAATATTGCACTGTTTTGAGAATAATTTCCAAGAGGCATGGATAATCAAAAAGAAAAATATTTTGTTTAAGAGAATGTAAACATTGAATATCTATTAATATATATATATATATATATACAGTAACTTTTTTAACTTCTCCAATAAACTTTATTTGTTTATAAAATTATTTTAAATAATTACCTGGGTATTTATTTCCTGTTAACCATTTTTGACACATAAAATCTGTCATCAAACACAACACCAATAGAGGATAAGCATGATGTCTTAACACACTCATAAAATCTTCATTTTGGTTTTAGAGAATCCATATAAGCCAGTTTAGTTCTTGTAAAGAATGATATAATTTAATTCCTTGTAGCTATTTTAAATGTCTTGGCTGCCAGAAAGATCAATGTAAGTTTAAATGAATTTGTTTGTCAGAGAATCTCAGTATTTAAGCTCATATTGTTCAAGCTTTTTGTGTACTATTTCCATAATTTATATCTATTGACTATCTAAACAGATATTTATTCTTTTCAAATTTCCACAAGAATAATTGACACAAATTTAATCTTATTTAAATATGTGCTGTAATTGTAATTTATAACTGCATATACAATGTATTTATAATTTGTAGATAATTCAACTAAATAAAGAGGGATCTATTCCTTCACACTTACACTCAAATGAGTGGTGCAAGTTAGGCAAAATCTTGGCCAACTTTTACAACGAATAGGAAATTACATAAAGTATCATTATTTGTGCATCAAAAAAGTATATTTCAACTGTAGATGAGCACACTGTAGAAGGAAACTTGAACAGTACAAAATCCACAGTTCTTGTCTAAATGCATAGCTCAAGAAAACTGATAACATGATTATAAACATGTAATCTTTGATTAAGTGGTATATGAATTGACATAAAAGCAAATACTTTAAGTAGTGAATTTTCCGAGTTTGTAACTTCAATATCAAATGTAATCAACGTTTATTCAGTATTATAAACTGCACCAATTTTAGAAATAAGATCTTAATAGACATTTCCTTCCTCAGCTTAATAACAGAGCTTATATAACCATCAATAAAAACATAAATCTAAAAAGTGTTTATATATATATATATATGTGTGTGTGTGTGTGTGCGACGCTATTTTATTTATTAAACATAGTAGACAAGAAACTATATAAAGCAAAGTTCAAATAATGAATACAAGTTTTGCTATAACAGGGTTCGTACACATTTCTCCACACGGAAATTAAGTACTTTTAAGGACTTTGGAAGCAGAATTAGAATTTAGAAAGGCACTATGCAGTCGAATTTAGGATTCACAGAGATTGCATCAGATGGGAAAATGTGTATGATATATAGCTCTGTGTATGATGCATTAAAACATATTAGATGGATCTTTGAAATTGTAAGTTTTCAATTTTTGTATTAATAAAAAAATCCCTTTCTATAATGCCTGCCCAAGTGATACGATTAGAAGCATTTTTGATATTTCCCACGCATATTTCACGTAAAGGGAAGATAAACATGTTAAGAAAAAGATTCTAGCATCAGGAATAAAACACTCAAATATTACTCATGTCTTCATTGTTCTTCCAGACGTTCTCCAAAAAGTAAGAAATTCATCGCAAACATTTTGTAAAATACACGTTGATACCATGAAGGCATTTTTCACTTTGTCACATATTTCTTTAATCTTCTAGAATCGTGGGTCTATAAATCTTGCTTTCAAATCCTTCTAAATTTTCTAAGTTGCAATGGTCAAAATACTAAAGAAAAATTATCCCAACCAATTCTGTAACAGCAAAAAGCCAGAAATATTTTGAAAAAAAAAAAAAAAAAGGGGGGGGGAGGGAAAAGTGTAAATTTACTTTTATAATGAAAACTGATGCATATTCTGAGAATTTGAATATTTCCGAGACAATTACATGGAAAACGCTTACTATGAAAAATTAAAAAGAAGATTTTTTAATTAATTACATAGAATTTTGCTTTTGCTAAGAGTTTTTCGTAAATTGTGCTTTATATCATTATACCTTGTATATTTTTTCAGATTCAAAATATTGTATAATAAGTTGCCAAAATAAAACTTTATAATATGACAGCAGAAAATAAAAATGTTTTATTTTAATATTATTAATCAAAGTTATGATGTTTTTTAAAAAAAATTGTCGAAAAATTCTGATTTCAGAATTAAAAATTTTCTATAGAAACTGGTCTGAAAATCGCCAAATTTAGAACCATTTAATAAAAGAATTCACATTCCCAAAAGCGAAAATTGTTTAAGAGCTCTTTATTACAATAAATGAATTTCGAAATGCTTATGTTTCACTTCTTGCTTAGAAACTCGAGAATCCTGTCATTTATATTAAAAATAGAAACAAATTATAACCCATGAACCCATTCAAAAGATAACCATATACGTCAGTGAATTGCCAAAAATATTCCTCCAAAATGCTAATTCACACTCAAAATGGCAATTGTAAAAACAGAGAGAAATTTCAGATGATTAAAATTAAGGACCTTCTACTAATTTTGACCAAAATTAAGGACTTTTAAGGACCAAAAATCGATTCCAAAAACTTTAAGGACTTTTAAGGACTCTTAAGTACCGTACGAACCCTGTATAATAAAGGAGATATAATAAGGAATTTAGAGACAAAACTTATAATTTTTATAACTTACAAAGTGACAGGAGGTTGCACTTGAGAGAAAGCTCCAATATTCTGATGACATTTCAAGGGCTTTTTTAGCTTCTTCGAAGTATCTTAGAAAATATAAAACATACATGTAAATTGCTGATATCTGTAATTTTTTCTGTAATTTTTTTTTTTTTTTTATTTGAAGAGATATTCTGATAAAGAAAATATTTTGTTAGTTACATTTAAAATCTTCACATACTGAATTGGATATATTTTAATTTTTTGTGACTTGAAAGTCTGTTTCCCATACCATAAAACTACTACATAATAATAACAAAATGTGACAGTAGTTATCAAGTATTGGTTGTATTGACACAACTCATTAAAAGAAAGGTTCATATCACCGGATTACCTAATTAATAGGTGTTTTACTATCACTTCATATAACTAATGAATAGTTTCAGCTGAACACTTTTGAATCCATCTGATACATTTAGACAGCATATATTTTCACCAAAGTGCTATTAATACTTTATTCACAGTAATTTTACTTATTTCATAAAAATCATATTTTTTAGGCTCTTTACCGCGCATAGCTTATCTGCTTTCTAGCTAAAATCTTAAGAGCAGGTTAAATATAAATTATAACTTTTTCTGGAGAAATTAAATTACAGTTGAACCTGCTACGATGAACTTGACTTATAACAAACCCCCCAAGTACAGCAAATAAATCTTTTGATCCCACCCAGCTTCCTGTATATTTAATATTAGTTTATACTGTTACAGTGAAACTCCGAGTGTATGAAAATCAACTAAACAAACTGTATGGATATCTTTGATTGAAACATGTTCTATATTTTTTACATTCTTTTTCCAGAATTTCTGCAAGTTTTAACATAAAAAATCCTAATTGTTAAATATAGCCACTTATAATACTCCATCCATTCTTTTATCTTTACCCCACTTTCCTAAACAAAGGATTGTGAGAGAGATGTGACAAGCAACTCTAAGAGACCAAGGATAAAATAAACATATCTTAAGACATGATGTGGTATACCACTGAAATAAAAAAATCTGATGTGTACACCACATGACTTCCTTGCACGGAATATTAAATTAAACACATTTTTCTTGCATTGTATTTAAACTTATTAGTTTGAATTAAATCTACATCATCGATAGGCTAAACACATAGAAAAGCACTTTTAAATTCACTATATTGTTTACCTATGACACTTGGGGGAGTTTACTTAACACATTACATTTGTTGATATTAACTCAAATGCTATATTATATCATTGAAAGTATCTATCGTGCCGAGTGCATTTAATACTATATAATTAAAACGACGTATAAAAGAAGAAGCAAACAAAACAAAAAGAAACTTTTTCCCCGACAATCAGGATTTATCATATTAACAGTTCACTTCCCGACAAGGCCAAATACATAAAAACAAAATCTTATAAAGTATGAAGTCATCTTAAACCCTTATTCCTCAATAAAATTCGAAGAGTAAGCAGATTAATTTGCAAAATAAAAGAAGAGTTATCTTGTTGTTGAGAACTAGTTTCGATGGCAACAATCTGCTATTTGCCAACTGAGAAAGGTAACATGATGTCGGTCCTCGCAAAATTCATCGCTTAGCTTCATTTAAAACAACTTTTAAATTGTGATACTCTACAATAGCATGCAGATTTCCAAGCAAAAAACCTTAACAGAGATAGACAACATAATTCAATCTTTAAAGCAAAATGCATAATGAAACGTATAAAATAAGGAAAGATTAGACCGTACAAGTGGATTTTATTAAATATATTTATATACTTGGGTGCCAATGCACCAAATATGAGTGCACATCTACATTTAGAGCATTCCCCCAAAATTAACATTTGGGCGCTCTTTTTGAGTTATGCAAGAACGTATGCACAGATGCACAAAAACTCTCTTTCAATTTTTAAATCAGTTTTAATAATGTTGGGAACGAGTCCTCCTTATTTACAGTGCCACACAAAAACATCAGAAAGTTGGATAGCATTCAAAATCGATATTTTCAGTGAAATATGATACCCGAAATTTTGCGATTACAATACTTCCTTTTTACTTCATACAAGGAAGTAAAAAGTGAACAGGTTCTCTGATTCCATTAAAATTTGTTGACCAAACTGTCACACAGAGCTCTAATAAACGTTGAAGCCATGATGAAAATTTTACTAATAACAGCAAGAGGAAGTAATGAGTCTTGTGCCTGCAGTTTTGCATTTGATTTTTCAGTACTTTTGTGTTATTGCAACTACCTAACAGAAGATGCTAAATTTTTAAAGAGTGCCAAACTCTGGCAACCATGCTTATAGCAATCCTTCAGCCAAGCAATGCCACTGTTTTCATATGCATTCTTTTTTGATGTATTCCAAGTTCCAACACTTTTTTTTTAACATATCGTGATATTTTTCCCCCTTAGTTTTTAAATATGAACTTGTGGAATTTGCCAGCAAGGGAAGAAATTGCAGTAAAATGTCTGCAGGAATACAAAATTTCACCGAAATTTTTATAATACGAAAAATAAGGGAATATTTTTCCTAGATAGCTGTTGTTGCCAAGGTTTGCACAAGTCTCTGCAAATATCTGGTGCTTTTTAAGCAAAAACAGATCACTGTGTACTTCAGGAAAAGAATGGGGCAAAAAATTACAGGAAGATTTGAAGAAGAATTTAAGTGTTTTATTTTTTTTAATTCAAATTTGTATTTTAAATTGCTAAAGTATGTTTTCTTTTCATATGTTGATACTGCTTACCATCTTAAGATATATATCGATATTTTGGGAAATCCTTCTGAAAAAACATGTTTAACCTTTTAACTGTCAAGTTGTTTTGATGGTTTGGGTGCATAAATTGTCAATTTTTTTTTATTTCAAAGATAAAATGTTTGCCTCGCAGTCAAAAAACTTTAAAAATGCTGCGCACTTTGAACTTTAACCATTATCCTTTGAAACCTTCAGTAAAATGCTGCCATCTGTTTAACTGAAGCCAAATTAAACTTCTCACGATATAGATTCAGGTATAACAATACAATGCACTCAAAAAAAAAAAAAAAAAAAAAAAAAAAAAATTTGCCCGAGTAATATTCGGGCATGACATTTGGGAATACCAGTGCAGTGCCCGAGATTATTTCTGGCATGACAGTTAAAAGGTTGAACCAATAACTTGCACAAGGTAAATAACTTTCACTTTTTTAACTGCAAAAAATCATCAAACTGCACGAAGGTGATTGCATTAATACTAAAGTACTGATTCTTCTTTCAGGGAATAAAAAGTTTTGATCTTATTAGATTCTTTCTTTTAAGTAAAAATACTCTCCAAGTTCTATCCTCCATGTAGGCAATTTGCAGTCTTTAGGTCCCTTATATACCACAATACCTTCTTTATAAATCTTTGTGTCAAACATACATATCTTGTGAGAAATGATTGTGCACTAATTAGACATTGGATAAGTCATGCAGGTTGCAAAATTACTATTTTTCCATACTTTCCAGAACAGCAAAGCTTTGACCAAAGCTGGGGGGGAAGGAACTACATAAGACCAGAGACAGCATTATTTTCTCAGTTGTTAGTCTAGTGTGGTTAGGAGTATTTTGAGATGTTTTGATGATGATGAGGAGGAGATTGAGATTGTCTCTATGTTAGCTTCGTTCTTCAGATGTATTTTGCATTGAGTTGTGTTTAACTCTTTTGCATCGAGAGAAGGCCAAATCTGGTTTCTTGAAACATCGAGAACGCCCGTGTACACGAGTTTTTCCTGAAATGGTTTTCTTCCCCTCCTGTCTAGTAGGCTGCTACAGCATTAACAATAACCTACTTAAGTGAATTGATTACTATCTCTTGAAGGGGTTTTCGGTCGTTTCACCCATTGTGTGCAGTTTTCCCTTAGGACAGGATTGCAAATGGGAGCATCAGTAGCTTTCTATATTTCTCCTCGATATTTTTAATGATTTGAGTACTTTATATTGCTTAAAATAACCGGTTTTAAGATGCGATAGTGTAGATTTAGAGGAAACAATTATGTATATTTATGGGGTCAGTAAGATTTTTCATTGTATAAATTAAAGCGCAGTGATTCTTATAATAAACAAAAATACGTAAAGGCAGTGTGTGTACATTGATTTAATTTATTTTATTTAATAATGTTTTCCTTGATTCTTATATAAAAAGAACTTACGAATAATTTTTATAAAAAATAGAAAAGTCTGGTACCTTTTTATCTATTGTCACTGCAGGAAGAAAAGAAATATTTAGGGCAAATAGTTTAGTTGATAAATGGTGGTTTGACAGAGCTTGAATATTACCAGTTACGTTTTACAGCCATCCAGCATGAAAATTATTTCTAATATTTCCGCAGTTTTGTGCTAGTAAATACAAAAACACTTTCATTCAGCAAGTTAATGCTACTGAGTAGAATTTATTTCAAAATAAGAGCTATAGAAACCCTCCTCTCTCTCTCTTATTACTGAAATCCCTTCATATAATTGCATCCATTTACAGGATTAGCAATAAGCATTATTAACATGCCTTTAATAAATTTATACAGATTCAATCACTTGTTTATGAATTAATATAATCTTAGAAGGAAAGTAAACCTTCACTCTTATATTGAAAAATAATTATTAGCTGTATATATTTGATGGTTTTAAAACTCGTGTTTCAGAAGAAATATATACTTTATCCGGGACATTTTAAATGGTTTTAACATTATAATTTTACTAATTCAGAAGTCAAACAACAAAAATCAGCGTTATACCTACAAAATTTTCACAGGACTAGTTTCGAGGTTTTACCGAACCATCATCTTCAGCTGCAAAACCGCAAATGAACAAGATAGGAAATAATGATTAGATAAGATAAGAAAGCCTGCAAGAATAAGCAAGTGGCGCCATCTGTTGGCGAAACCAGAACTAAAACATATTTCTCTAAAAGCCGAAGGCAAATTTGGATTGGAATTAGGATCGTTAACTAGAACAGAAAGATTTTTATGAATGTGAAAATGCCTCTAGAAAATCAGTTCTCCAATGGAAGATGTTTTTTGAATAATTTTGGCAGCAGAAAAATTTGAAAATGTGATTTTCGGACCAACAA